ACCATGGGTGTGACTCCCAGCCATGTCTGCGTGTGTCCTGGGGAGTCGGTGTGTAGGGCCTGTGTGAATTCGTGAGTGCTGTGTTGGAGTGGTTTGGAAAGCCCCCGACACCTGGGTGTGCGGTGAGTGTGTTACCACAGACAAGCAGCCATGTCAGTCGTGATGGGGTGTGATGTGTGTGCAGTCAGGGCCCCGCACTTGGTGGCAGGCTCTGTTCTGAGCTCAGGAGGTGGCTTTTCTGGGTGCTGGGTGAGGGCTCCGTGTGAGCCTGTGGGCTGTGCACCCACACAGGCGCGTGCTGGGGCGGTGGACGGCCCAGGTGGTGGCCCAGATGGAGTGTGGCGTGCATACCAGCGCCTTACGGGGCGTGGGGAGGAGCGGGTCTTGGCTGAGTGTGGCCGCTGCAGGCTCGGCCACTGACCTGCCTGAAGCCACCCAGATGGAGCTGGGCTGAGCAGGTGGCTGAGCCGTGGGGCCATGCTGGGACGTCCACTCCCCACAGCCTGGCCTGGCCCCACATGAGACCGACCCCCTCAGAGACTCCCAGTGCCCACCTGACGCCCTGCTGGAACAGGCTGTGTGCGTGCATGCAGACACACGCACGCACACATGCACACACGCACACACATGCACGCATGCACACATGCACACACTCACGCACACGCATACACATGCACACACATGCGCACATGCACACGCACACAGGCATGCACACGCGTGCACACGCGCACACATGCACGCACATGTGTGCACATGCACGCACACATGTGCACACGCAGCATCATCCCACACAGGCCCTTCTGTTGGTGTCTCGTCTCAGTGCCTTTTCCTCGGCTTTGAACAGGGGCAGGCAGATCGGCAGGGGCCGGGGTTGCTGGAGGGAATGAGACCAGGAGGCTGACGTCTACCCGGAGTAAGCCCTGGTCACGCTGATTGTTTTAGCCACTCACATGCTGTGGGGAGATGGGTGTGGGCTGAATTATCCTAGAAATTGGCCAGCCTCAGGGGTGGGATTTGTGTAGGGTCAACCGATAAAATAAAGGATGCCTAGTTAAAATCGAATTTCCGATAAGCAATGAACACCTTTTTGGTGTGCCTTTCCAATATTGCCCAGGCGTCACTTAACACTCAGAAATGACGTGCTGCTGATCGGAGTCAGATGCAGCTTGGGGGCCTGGACTTTTGTTTTTTTTTGGTGCCCTACACTTTGCTGCCACCCTGGAAGTGTGTGTGGGGAGGAGCCGAAGGATGGGGCTGGGGGTGGTGCAGGGCGGAGGGGGGACAGGGCACCCAGGCTCCTCTCCCTGGAGCCGGGGGAGCCCTGGATGGAGAGCAGTGGGGAGTTAGTCAGAGGCAGGCTTGGCACTGACTGTGGCCCCATCTACAGGTGGCCATGGTGCCCAGCCCTGCCCCATAGCAGTCTGCCATGTCACGGGAGGCAGGCTCATGCCGCGTAGGCACAGGGGCGAGGGCACGGTCTCGGAAGCCCAAGAAGCCACACTACATCCCGCGGCCCTGGGGCAAACCCTACAACTACAAATGCTTCCAGTGCCCCTTCACCTGCCTGGAGAAGTCGCACCTCTACAACCACATGAAGTACAGCCTCTGCAAGGACTCCCTGTCGCTGCTGCTGGACTCCCCGGACTGGGCATGCCGCCGCGGCTCCGCCACACCCAGGCCCCGTGCACACACCCCAGACCGTCCCGAGGAGCCCAACCCCGGCAGGCAGCCCCAGGGAGCGCAGCCCTTGGATGCTCTCCCCACGCCTGACCTCGTGGTCGCTGATGTCCGCTCCCTGCACCGTGGCGGAGGCCCCAAGCCCAGGGCCGAGGGGTCCCCAGGGCCACCACTCCCTGTGGCTAGGGCCACCCGGAAGGGTCCCGGCCCCAGTGGGCTCCTGCCTGAGTCGTGGAAGCTGGGGATGGGAGGGGGCCCAAGGGGCGTGGCTGCAGGGGATGTGGCCTCAGCGGGACCTGAGGGCAGCGTCCCCTGCTATCCCCCACCTGCCCCAGGGGAGTTCCCTGAGGCCCAGAGCCTCCACCTGTCTCTGCTGGGCGTCAACTACCCACTCAGCCCAGGCCTCTGCTCCTTCTTGGGGCCCTCACTGGCCGCTGCGGCCCACGTGCCCTTCCTGGCCTCAGCCAGCCCCCTGCTGCCTCCGGCTGCGTCCTTCCCAGCTGCGCAGCCCCCTCAGCGCCCCACCCTGGGCCCCCGCCTGTACTACCCACTGCTTCTGGAGCACACTCTGGGGTTGCCAGCAGGCAAAGCTGCCCTTGCCAAGGCCCCTGTCTCCCCCAAGAGCACCCCTGGGACTCTAGTTCCTGGTCTGCTGAAGGTGCCAGTTCCAGGGCTGGGGCCATGGCCCGGAGTCACCCCCAGGGACCCAGGGCAGGAGGGGGAGCTGGAGCGGGCAGCCCAGAGTGACCCCAGGAAGAGGCTGTCCCTGGGAAGCAGGCTGGAGCTCCCGAAGGCACCCCCCAGCCTGACGAGGTTCTGTTCCCGGAGCAGGTGGGCGTCTTGGGCTCCCGGTTCCTGGGGTGGATGGAGGGGCTGGGCGGCTGGGCATGGTGGCTGGGTGGCTGGGCATGGAGGCTGGGTGGCTGGGCCCGGCGGCTAGGTATGGTGGCTGGGGTCTGTCCTGAGCTCAGTCACTGGGAAAGTGTGCTCCAGGCCACAGAGGGGAACTGAGACCCGAGAACCAGCGTGGGGGTTCTCGGGGTCTCCAGGAGAACCCAGGCTCCAGGCTGGGGCCGCAGGGCAGAGGCCACGAGGGGAGCGGGGCTGGGGCCGGAGGCGCCGTGGGGGCAGTGTGGCCTCCTGACCGGCTCCCACCCCACAGCCTGCCCACCAGCCCCTCTGTGACGCTGTGGCCTGAGGACAGGGAGCCAGGCGGCCCTGAAACCCCCGGCCCCGAGGGCCCCCTCCCACCGCAGCCACGGGGCCCAGTGCCAGGAAGCCCAGAGCATGTGGGTGAAGACCTGACCCGGGCCCTCGGTGACTACGCAAGGGTGGAACGGCGCCTGGGGCAGCTGGGGCCCGCTGGGGGCCTGGCCCCAAGACCCCTGCGGGAGCAGTTGGGCAAGATCCGCCTGGAGCTGCTCACCATCCACCGGGCACTGGAGCGGGCCGCGAGGCCGCCCGACGCACCCCTCGACCTGTCTGTGAAACGCGCGCCTGCCAAGGGGCCCCAGGCTCTTGGAGAGGTGTGGGGGCAGCCCGAGCTGAGTCCCATGTTGACCAGGGGTACCCCCGAGCCACCCAGCATGCTGGGCTCTGCAGCGCCCCAACCCTTCTCCGGCCACACCACAAAGTGTGAGGCCGACTCCAGCGTCCCACCCCCGGGGCTCCCCCTCCCGGCCTCAGATGACCCTGTCATTCCTGGCAGTGGCTGGGGCACCTGTGTTACCACAGGGAGTTCCCAGACCCCTGAGGCTGTCTGTGGTCTGCAGAGCCCCCGGGGCGCTGAGGTCTGACCAGCAGTGCCTGAGGTCCGACCGTCTCTGCCCACAGTGTGCCAGCCCCTCTCCTGCAGCCCCGACCCCTCACCTGCCCCAGCCCTGTGGGCGCCGAGGTCTGACCAGCAGCGCCTGAGGTCCGACGTCTCTGCCCGCAGTGTGCCGGCCCCTCTCCTGCAGCCCCCGCCCCTCACCTGTCCCAGCCCCATGGCCAAGGCCTGGGACCTGCCCCACCCCCGCATGCATGTGGATAGACCCCCACGGGCCGTGGCCAACGCTTTTCCCTGGGGCCACACAGGGACACGGGAGGTCACAGTTATTTATTGATCACAATTGTGGACATTAAAACGGAAAATTGTGTTCACACACACCGTCTGGGCCTCCTTCCTTTGGGGTCCTAGTGTAGCCGACTGGACACCCCCTTAAGGAAGTGTCCTGGCCTGGGAGTCCTGGGTGGGGAGTAGTCCTCCCGGGCCTCTGTCTTCAGACTCGGCCCTCTCCTGTGGGCTGGGCTTTCCCTGCGGGGCTGGGGTCTGGGGGTGGGCGGGATGTCAGTGTCAGGAGCTGAGCAAGGAAAGGCGTGTGATCTGGGCTGCTTGGGGTGATCTGGCCTATGTCGGGGGTGGGCACGGACCCCTGAGCATCCTCTTGCCTCTGAATTCAGCAAGGCAGTGCTAATGTCAGCTCTCCAGCGGTTAAACGGTGGCCCCGAGGCTGTGTGGCTAGAGGCTGCTCACCCAGCATGGGCTCTGCTGGCCCCTGCCAGCCCCTGCAGCCGAGATAGGTATCGGCCTTCACGGCTCACTGCCTCCCTCCCGGCATGGCCTGGCTTGGCCCTCCCACGGGCAGGGGATGGGCAGGCAGGGAGGGGTGCCCGGGACCCCCACAGCAAATCACTTCTCTCCTGGGGGAGCTGGCCAAACCCCCCACGCCCACCCTGGAATGGGCCCTGGAGCCCACGCTGACCCCCCAGGAGGAGAAGCAGTTCCTGCTTGCACCTAGTTCCCTGAGCTGGGCTGGGCCAGCCGGGCTGCAGCCAGTCCAAGCAGGCTGGCAGCGGGCCCCATTAACTACTGAGGAGATAGCATCAGCCCCGACCCGGCCTCAGGGCAGCCAGAGCTGGGGTGTTGCCTTGCAAGGGAGATAGCATCGGCACCCACCGCCTTGGGGCAGCCAGAGCTGGGGTGCTGCCTGGCCAGTCGCGGAGTGCTGTGGGGACAGGTCCCAGCTGGGCCCCTCTACCCAGAGGCTTCTTGGAGGGGCTTCAGGGGGCCCTGGGCAGCCAGGAGGTGTCCTCAAGTCCCGACTATGAGGGAGACTCCCTATCCTCAGCCCCGCACCCCACATGTCCACTGCACCCCATATGTCCACCACACCCCCCATGTCCATCACACCCCACACGCCCACCGCACCCCACACGCCCACCGCACCCCCCATGTCCATCACACCCCACATGTCCACCGCACCCATGTCCACCGCACCCATGTCCACCATACCCCATATGTCCACCGCACCCCACATGTCCACCGCACCCATGTCCACCGCACCCCATATGTCCACTGCACCCCATATGTCCACTGCACCCCAGTTTCTCACCCCCACTGGGCAGACAGGTGAGCATGGCCTTGCTGGGGGCAACAGCACCCGTCTCCCAGGTGTGGAGACACGTGTGACCTTCTTCGCTGTCAGGACAGGCCTCGTGGAGGGTGCCTCAGCCAGCAGGTCACCCACCCTGGTCCAGACCCAAGGACCCTGCTTGGGGGTGGTGGCCTGGGGCTGCCTTGCCACTCGGAGTAATGAACTTGCTGGTTGTGGGGGGACTGTGGGGAACCCCCTGAAGGGGGGTGGGCTGCATGGCATCCGGCCGTGCAGGGGACGTGGGAATAGTGTCCAGGCAGAGGGCACAGCCTGCAACGAGGTGCAGAGGCAGGAACGCCGCAGCATGGGGAGTCCTCAGGAGACTTGAGTTTTCCTTCATAGAAGCTTCCAGGCCGAGGCCTGAGACCGCGCTCTCTCTCCTCCACCCGGCCCAGCTGCGTCCCTGCCAGTGGCTCCTCCCACTTCCTCCGTTCTAGTTTCCAACAACAGAGGCTGCAGCCACCCAGCCCCGAAGCAGGGCCCAGCGAGACTGGCCCCAGGTAAGAGACCCCTCCCCGGGCCTCTTGGTGGGGCAAGTGGAGGCCCTCAGGACAGGCTGCCTCGCCCCAAGGGGTCAGAAGGCTCCCTGACCGAGGGCTCAGGTAGAAGGGCTATGTGTGGGTGACCCCCAGGTAGAAAGGGGTTCCGTAGGCAGATGGATTTGAGAAATGCTGCTTATCTGTCTGATGCCCGTGAGCGCAGCTGGGGCTCAGGGGAAAACCCACAGCGAGCTCCATGGGTCATGTGTCTCCCAGACTCGAGTTCCAGGGCCCTAGACACTAGGTGGCCACTGGGCTTGGGGGTCAGGCAGACCCTCAGGACCTGGAGGACCCAGCCTCATAGGAGGGCACTGGAGGAGTGACTGCCATTCCCACACACAGTGGGGCTTTATTCTCTGTCTTGCAGCCCCAAACGTGATCCAGCCGCAGAGAAGCTGAGACGGTATTTACGACTGACTGGACTCCGGCCTCCGGCTGTCTGCACCTCACGCTGGACCTGCCTAGAGACTCCACTGGCTCCCGGCAGCCCCGGCTGCTTGGGCGGATCCGGGTGCCCGCAGGGGCTGCAGGAGGGCCCCGGGGCCTGCACTGCTCCCCCGATGGCCTGCTCTTCCTCACGGCTGGAGCTGCACCCTGTGTCCACGTGCTGGATCTGGAGGGACGCCCCGTCTGCCTCCTGCCTTGCTGCACTCCAGGGACCGGGGCCTTCGTTCCAGAGGATGTGGCTGTGACAGCATCAGGGCTTGTGGTGGTCAGCGATCCCATCCATGGGGCTGTCCATGCCCTCCAGCACACAGCCCGGGACCCCGGAGGCCGCTGGGTGACCGTCGGCACCTTCCTGTCTCCCCGAGGGCTGGCTGTGGATGCCCTCAGCCGCCTCCTGGTGACAGACTACTTGCCCGGGGCTGTGCACAGCTTCACGTTGAGCCCTGCTTGGGAGCCCCTGGCCCCAGCCTCCATGCTGGGTCTGGAGGGCCCCTGCTGGGTGGGCCCAGGGCCTGATGGGGGCCTTGCTGTGAGTGAGGAGTTTGGGGATGTGAGGCTGTTTGGCAGTGCCCACCAGCCCCTGGGCTCCCTGGGGGGCTGGACGGGGCACACTTTCGGCTGCCCAGCAGGCATCTGCTCCAACTCAGAGGGCAACATTATTGTAGCAGACGAGCAGAGGCGCCAAGTGACCCTGTTTCCCCGGGCTGGGCCACCCATCTGCCTGGTGTCGGAGGGGCTTGGGCAGCCCTTGGGAGTGGCCTGTGCACCCCAGGGCCAGCTCCTGGTGGCTGATGCCAAGGACAACTCCATCAAGGTGTACCAGGGCCTCAAGGAGCTGGCCTGACCTGAGGCCGGGTTGGAGCAGGCCTCCTGTGCCTGAGGCCAGCTCCAAGGCCCTTGGATCACCGTGGGAGGAGTCCTCGGGGTAGGTGGAGCCTCCAGACTATGGGCATTGCCTGCCTGATGCCAGCACCCCCTGGGCTGGGCCCTGGGCTGGGCTCGAGTTCTCCTGCTGGTGAGGCTCCGGATCTCAGGGGCAGCCCAGAGTCAGTGCCTCCCAGGCTGCCCCTGCCAGGCCTGCAGCCTCCCCTACCGGGGCCGCTCTCTGCTGTCCCCATTCAGTGCCCTGGGCCCTGCATTCATGCCCCCCACACCCACTCAGACCCTATGCCTGGACTTTGGGGCTGGCAGCTGAAGCCCTGAGATCCTGGGCCAGCTGCTGGCACACAGCTAGGCAGGCTCTCCTGCCAGGTGCCCACGCCCAGGCTTCCCAATCAGAGGCAGACAGGCAGGGAGGGTGTGGCTGGGCTGGGCTGGGTGGGGTGGCCTGGGGCAGGGGTGTAGACCCGAAGTGTCCCCAACCTCAGAGCGACCTAGAGTCCTGAGTCTCCAGTAGCTTCTCTGGGCCTGGCAGAGGTAAGGGGAAGGTAACCCTGGAGTGTCTGGAGGCCAATGGCTGGCTGAACCCCGGATGCCTTTTCTTCCACGTCCCCATGAATGAAAGCTGTCTGGGCCTTCATTCTGCAAATAGGGACAAACAGCTCTGTGCTTATGGTGCAGCTGTGCTGGGAGGGCCTGGGGGAGCCTTCCTACAAGGAGAGACTCCTGCTGCTTTAGAAAACTGAGAAAAAACAGGGGTCTAACCCTCTCCTCCCATTTTACAAGTGGGGCAATGAGGCATGAAAGGAGAGGCGTCTGGGTTACCCCCTGGGTCTGGATCCAGGGAAGGGCCTGTATGGGGAGGGAGCTGGGAGGGGATGGTGTCTGGCCCTACCCCTGTAGGGTGGGGAGGTGGGGCTCCCCTGTATCACAGGACATCACCCCTGAAAGGTCCCTCATATGTCTGGGTCCTGTGGGTGGGGGATTAACTGGGCGATATAGTTGGGTGCTCAATAAACGTAGTTGCTGCTGAGGTGTGGGCTGGGGTCTTGTTCCCGGGATCGGGAGGCGCTGGACGCCTGTGTGTTCCCTCCTGACGATCGCTGGCGGCAGCCTCTGGGCTGGTCCTACCAGGGTTCAAACTTCCCGGCACCACTGGCCTTGGGGATCTGGGGGCGGCCCCTCTGCAGACATCAGGGTGAGGGGGGCGGGACCGGGCTGGGGCCGGGGCCCTCCTGGAATCCCGCAGGGCCTGAGGACCTGTTCACCTGGCGAGGCTGGGAGCAAGGCGGGGTCCGGGTTCCACGAAGGCCAGGTCCAGTCGGTTTCTCAGGCGAGGAAACCGAGCTGACGGAGGGCTGGCAGCCCGGAGGCTGGCTCGGGAGGTCTGGGCCTGGGGGCTGGGCGGGCACGCTGTGCCGCGGAACGCTCGGGCCGGGCGGGCAGGCGGGCAGCCCGGGCGCCTTTGGGGGCCGGACCGTCGCGCGGCAACGCGCGGAGCCGGCGGAAGTGGGGCTCGGGTCCCGCGGCTGGGCTGGAGGCACCGAACGCCGTCGTCTGCCCGGGCCCGCCCAACCGGGCTCCCAACCCCATCCGGACGCTGCCGCCCGAGCGCGCGGCCCCGGGAGCACCCGGTGAGCAGGGGGGTGGGCGGCGCATGGCGGGATCTCGGGCAGCGCCGCTGCGTCTCCGGGCCCGGGCTGGGGGCCTCGCACTCCCGCCCGCGGCGCCGCTGGTTCTTCCTCCGGGAAGTGGGGCCGCCCCTGGGCCCGCGCCCTCCGACCCGCGCCCACCTGGGCCCCTGTGGACTCTGTGCAAGGGCGGTCGGCGGCCCGGGCCTGGCTGTGGGCCCTTCGCAGTTGTCCCGGGTTGCAGGAAAGGGCAAAAAACGGAATCAGAGGCTCTTCCCAAATGAGAGGGGAAAGTCTGCTTGAGGAAGGGCAAGGTTTTTTTTTGTTTTTTGATTTTTTTTTGAGACGGGGTCTCACCATGTTGCCCAGGCTGAACTCGTGTTTATTTTTCATTATTTACGTATTTATTTTGAGAGGGAGTCTGGCCCTGTCACCCAGGCTGCAGTGCAATGGCATGATCTCGGTTCACTGCAACCTCCGCCTCCCGGGTTCAAGCGATTCTCCTGCCTCAGCCTCCCGAGTAGCTGAGACTACAGGCGCCCGCCACCACGCCCGGCTAATTTTTGTATTTTTAGTGGAGACGGGGTTTCACCCCCAGTCTAGGCTGGTCTTGAGCTCCTGACCTCAAGTGATCCGCCCACCTCGGCCTCCCAAAGTGCTGGGATTACAGGCGTGAGCCACCGCGCCCGATTCGTGTTTAGTTTTCAAACAAGGCGCTGGGAAACGCAAATTCTCCGGAGCTCTTGTGGAGCGGTGGCAGGGAGGGGCGGCTCAGCCAGAGATGGCCCTGGCCCGTCCTCACTGGCAGGGGTCCCACCGTGCCCTCATTCACGGGACAAGAGGGAAGTCTTACTGCTTGATGTGGTCGACCTCCCTACCTGCCTGGTCTGGGAATGGCCTCACAAGAGCACTCGGGCTCGTTCTTAGCAGAGGAAGCTCTTCTGGCTAGCCTGGCGCGTGCGCTTGCGTGTGTGTGTGTGTGTGTGTGTGTGTGTGTGTGTGATTTTTCCTCTCAGTCTTTAAAGATGCTCACGTTGCCTGTGTTTCTGCCGCTTTCTCCCGTCCCGCACCTCCTCTGCTATCGATCGCTTCTCTTTCATCTTCCTCTGGCTGTGTGATCGCAGCAGCCTCTAGTGCAGGCTTCTTTGTGCCGCCGACCGTCCCGGAGGCTGAGGTGGGAGTGTGACGGGCGTTTGCCCCACGGTACGTTGAGTTCTGTCTCACTACCCGACAGATAAGAACAGCTTCTGCCCTCCCATCTCCTTCAGTAGACACAAGGCGCTGCTTTTTTGTTTTTTTGTTTTTTTTTTTTTTTAGGTAAACTTTGTAGATGAAGCACAAGGAATGCACACAAAGAAAGCGCACAGATCCTGAGCACATAGCTCGGTGAATTTACCCAAAGTGAGCCCACTGCAGAACCAGCTCCCCCCAGAACGTCTGTTTACTGTTAGACCAATTGTGTTTCTTTTCGGACAATCTCTGTGGGCGGTTTTCCTTAGTCCCTGTGAAAGCTCTTCCCCAGCAGGGCATGATGAGTCCCTGGGCTGAGCTGGGTGAAAGGTGGGCTGTACTGGGTGGTCGCTTGGTGGTCCACACGCCAGCAATGCATGGGCCCTCAACAGGCAGATTGCCTCTGGCCCAGTCACGGTGGTTCTTGGTGCCCCCCTCAGCTGGCTCAAGGCGTCCCCCGCCGTGCCTCTCTGGCCACTGAGGAATGGGCATTTGGGGATTCTTTTTTTTTTTTTTTTTTTTGAGTGGAGTCTTGCTCGGTCGCCAGGCTTGGAGTGCAGTGGCCGGATCTCAGCTCCTGGCAAGGCTCCCCACTCCCGGGTACCCATTCCTCCTGCCTTCAGCCCTCCCGAGTAGCTGGGACACCAGGCGCGCCAGCCTCGCCCCGCTGTTTTTTGTATTTTTTTAGTAAGAGATGGGTTTTCCTGTTTAGCCCGGGATGCTCGATCTCCTGACCTCGTGATCCGCCCGTCTCGGCCTCCCAAAGTGCTGGGATTACAGGCTTGAGCCACCGCGCCCGGCCGCATTTGGGGAGTTCTACGCCCGACCCAGAAGGGCTCTTTCCAGTTAGAACCCACGGCCTTGAGTGGTGGGACCCTCCAGCCCCGGTGCAGGCTGCCTGCATGGGAGAAGAGCAGCTGCACCAGGGACTTCTTAAGCCCCAGGCATTTCTGTGTGAGGCCTCGTCCGGAGCCCCTCCAAGCTTCGGGAGAGGACTTCCAGGTCACACCACCCTGAGGTGTGCGTCCCACTGTGTTCCCTCCTCCCTAAGGGCGTGGTGGGCTCTGGGACCTCCAGGCGTCCCGCTCTGTTCCCTTGTCCCTAAGGGTGTGGTGGGCACTGGGACCTCCAGACCTAGGCTCAGGCCAAGCTATGTCCTTCCCTCGAGTGTGGGCTCCATCCTGGGGGGTATCTGCTCAGGGTGGCTGCTCCACTCTTTGTGCAGGCGAGATGGGGCTTTCTGTGTCCGAGGAAGGCGAGCGGCCCAGCCAGCCGGCCAGCAGTGCTCCCACCGCTAGGGGGTCCTCCTCCCCTGTGGGACCCTGCCGGGGAGGGCAGCAGTGGAGGAGCAGGAAGTCACAGCTGGCTGCGCGGCTCGGCAGGGACCTGTGAGGAAGGGGGAGGAGAGGCCCAGGGCCTGGGAACTGCAGGGGCTTGGGTGGCTTCCTACTCAAAGGCCACCTTGGAAGGCTGGCGTCCCTCAGCCTGAGAGTGCAGGATGCGGTTCCTCCACCTCTCCAGTACCTGTGAGCCTCTCTCTCCCCGTTTCTAGGCACCCACAAGGTTGGAGAAATATATTCTGGAGAGAAATATGCCCTGGGGTGGCTGTGGGGATGTCCAGGAGAGCCAGGCACTGCCGGGGTGCCACCGTGGGCGGGGGTCAGAGTGGAGGCCGAAGCCCCGTGTGCCCTGAGCCTGCTCCCTGAGCAATGAGGCAGGTCCTTCCTGCCCCCAGGGAGGGGCTTGTGAGAGGCAGGGACCTGGGGGGTCGGCCCACCGTGTGCACGAGGGTAGTTTCGGCAGCCCAGCAGCACTTCATTTTAAATTTTCATCTTTATTCTTGCTTAATATGTGAATCATGGTTTGTCACGGTTTCAATTGGCGTGACCTTGCTAATGAGATTGTATAGCTCTCCATGTGCTACACCTTTAAGAACATCTCTCTGATCAGGTTTCTTAAAAACAAAAATAAGAAGCCTGGAGTTCGGTTCGGCCCCACACCCCGTCAGGTGGTGCTGAGGAGACTGTGCCCTGGGCCGGCACGTCTGGAAATAGTAGAGCAGGCCTGGTGGCTGCATGTGCGTGGCTGCCTCGTGCGGGTTGGGGTGAGGGCCTGGGGTGGAGGTGGGGACAGCGCTCCGGCTGCCCCTTGGAGCAGCAGGGCCCATGTGAGGTGGCAGCCAAGGGGCCCTATGGCCTCCACCACCGAACTCGAAGCTGAGGTACCCTGACCTGTGGCCCTGTGGCTGCACCTGTCAGCCTGTCCGTGCCACATCCCGCAGCCCACAGTGGGGGGCAGCAGCAGCTCTGAGCTGAGCCTCTCATCTTCTCTTCCAGCCTCCCAGCATGGTGCTCAAGGCCTTCTTCCCCACGTGCTGCGTCTCGGTGGACAGCGGCCTGCTGGTGGGAAGGTGGGTTCCGGAGCACAGCAGCGCCGTGGTCCTGGCGGTCCTGCACTTTCCCTTCATCCCCATCCAGGTCAAGCAGCTCCTGGCCCAGGTGCGGCAGGCCAGCCAGGTGGGCGTGGCCGTGCTGGGTACCTGGTGCCACTGCCGGCAGGAGCCCGAGGACAGCCTGGGCCGCTTCCTGGAGGGCCTGGGTGCCGTCTTCCCCCATGAGCCCTGGCTGCAGCTGCGCCGGGAGAGAGGCGGCACGTTCTGGAGCTGCGCGGTCACCCACCGGCAAGCGCCCGCTGCCCCCAGGGCCCCTGGTGAGGACCAGGTCATGCTGATCTTCTATGACCAGCGCCAGGTGCTGCTGTCACAGCTACACCCACCCACCGTCCTGCCCGACCGCCAGGCTGGAGCCACCCCTGCCAGCACGGGGGGCCTGGCTGCGGTCTTTGACACAGTGGCGCGCAGTGAGGTCCTCTTCCACAGCGACCGCTTCGATGAGGGCCCCGTGCGGCTGAGCCACTGGCAGTCGGAGGGCGTGGAGGCCAGCATCCTCGCGGAGCTGGCCAGGCGAGCCTCGGGACCCGTCTGTCTACTGCTGGCCAGCCTGCTGTCACTGGTCTCAGCCGTCGGTGCCTGCCGGTAGGTGTCCCAGGACAGGGAGGTGGCAAAGAGGGGCACCCCGTGAGTGCTGGCCTGTCCCTTTGTCTGTAGTGGGCACAGAGGCCCAGATGGGCTCTTCCTGGGCCCAGGCCCCCTCCCCACTTCCTGCAGCCGGGCTTTGGCCCCATCCTGCCCTCCCAACCCTCGCCTCAGAGGGTGTCCCTCACCCCTGGGGTAGAGCCAGGTCTCCGGGCAGCCTCAGGGATTGCCAGGGGCCCTCCCAGTAGGTGTAGAGGGTGAACCTCAGTGGCTCAGGTCCCTGAAAGAGAAATCACATGGTGAGCACAGATGCGACTGCTGCCACCGGGGGACACTCCTGAGGGCGCACGGGCCCGCTGGCCTGAGCCCAGCCCGTGCCCCCAGCAGGCCTCTGGGCACTGCAGTGCTCATGGGCTGTGGGGGTGTCATCCACTTGCTGGCCCCGTGTGCCTGGGGGAGTGGTCTACAGGCCCTGCTGCTCTCCACACTCACAGGTGCTGCTGGCCAGGGGTCAGTCTAAGCCCAAGGGCCCTGGGGGGCACGGGGGTAGCCTTGAGCTGTGACTGAGAACAGAGGGCTCCCTTCCACAGGAGACCTCATCTGCCTGGCGGAGGCACCGCGTGAGGAACAGCTGGGGGTCCCCCTCAGTTGCCCCCTGCCTTAGATCTGGGGGTCCCTACTCTGGAAGCCTGGGGTGCTCTTCCTTGTGAGAAGCCCAGTCAGCCCAGGAGACCCCTGCCCAGGCTTCTGGGCCCCATCGGCGGGGCGAGGCCCTGGGCCCATGGGAGTTGCTGTTGGCTCGCAGGTGCTGCCTTGGCAACAGCTCTGGGAGCATGTGGTGACCACAGGGTCACTGACCCAGGGTCAGCACCTGTGAGGAGGCCAGGCTCTGTGTTAGTCGTGTGCACTGTGAGGTGGGTGCTGTGAGCACTGCCTACCACCACGTGGGCCACCGAGGGCCCCTCCCACCTGCCCCTATCCCGCTGAGCTCAGGAGTGTGGCCTGGATATCTGTGGTCCCCTGCACAGTGGGGACGGTGGGAGGAGGATCTGGACAGGGGCACGTCACTCCTCTCCGCTCCCACACAGAGTGTTCAGGCTCTGGCCCCTGTCCTTCCTCGGGAGCAAGCTCTCCACGTGTGAACAGCTCCGGCACCGGCTGGAGCACCTCACACTCATCTTCAGTACGCGGAAGGCGGAGAACTCTGCCCAGCTGATGAGGTGTGGGCCTGCCCTGGTCTCCTCTGCAGGGCTGGGTGTGTGCCCTCTGGTCCCTTCCCCATCCCCCTCTGCACCACGCTGACCCCTCCGGCCAGGGAGGCCTCCTCCTGCGGCCCCAGGCTGTGCTGGCCACCCTCATGCCGGCTGGGCCGGACCTCCCTTCCAGGAAGGCCAACACGGTGGCCTCCGTGCTGCTGGACGTGGCCCTGGGCCTCGCGCTACTGTCCTGGCTCCACGGGAGAAGCCGCATTGGGCATCTGGCTGACGCCCTCATTCCTGTGGCTGACGTGAGTGGACTGGGGTGGAGCCTGGTGTCCTGGGTGGGCATGGGGACCCTTCCTGGGGCAGCAGAGCCTTCCCGGACCAGAGCCACCCCCACCCCAAAGCCAGCTCTACCTTCTCCATGGTCTGGAGACATGGCCCTCCCCGGGACCAGAAGCAGGAACTCCAGGGGCACTGGGACCTGGGCAGGGCAGGCCTTGCAGGCACGCCCCCCCCCTTTCCTTCTGAAGGGACTGTGTGCAGGAGCCACTGGGCTGAGGCTCTGGGGAGCCCGCCTCTCCCTGTGGGCCCAGCGTCGTGGTGTCTCCCTTGTGGCCCCTACCTGAGGTCAGCGCTGCTCTCCTGTTTCTCTGGGGCCCTCTGCAGAGCCAGGGTCATGAAACCTTCCCTGTCCAGGGCTGTCCGTGTGCAGCCCAGCTGGGACTTCCTGCCCTGCCCCTATGTTGATTCTGTAACTCCTGTGCTGAGAGCCAGGGGCACAGCTTGTCTCCCATCTCCCACCTTCCCTGCATGGTCTGTGCCCCATTTCCAGCCGGGTGCAGCCCCCATCTCTGCAGACCTAATGTATTTCCATGCTGCCTCTGGGCCTTCAGCTTCTCTGTCTTCCTCCCTCAGCACCAAAGCCCCGTCTCTTCCATTAGGAGCTTGTCTTCCTGACGGGGTGGTCCCTGGCTCTTTGGCCCACCCTTGGGCCTCTGTGGAGGCCTCCTTGAGGCCTGGCTGGGTGGGTCTTGTGTGGGCTGCAGGTGTGCACTGGGCCTGCTTGTGGCCAGGCCAGGCCTTTGGGGGCAGCAGTAGGCACGTCTGTCTGCCATGGGCTGCGGAGGTGCAGGGAGGCCCAACCCAGAAGGAAGGAGGGGCAGGGCTTGGGAAGGGGCTTGGCGACTTTGCCTGTGGTCGTCTGCACCCGCCTCTGGCCTTCCTTGTCCTAGACCTCTCTTTTGCAAAAGTGCTCAGAAATATAAATATTTAATTTAAAAATGAAAGTCTCTTCCTGCTGCCAAGCTCTTATCCTTTAAATATTAAATAATCTCTATTTATAAACAATGTTCTTTTCTCGGCCGGGTGCGGTGGCTCACGCCTGTAATCCCAGCACTTTGGGAGGCTGAGGCAGGCGGCTCACGAGGTCAGAAGATCGAGACCATCCTGGCTAACACGGTGAAACCCCATCTCTACTAAAAATGCCAAAAAACTAGCCAGGCGTGATGGCGGGCGCCTGTAGTCCCAGCTAGTCGGGAGGCTGAGGCAGGAGAATGGCGTGAACCCGGGAGGCGGAGCTTGCAGTGAGCCGAGATCGCGCCACTGCACTCCAGCCTGGGTGACAGAGTGAGACTCCGTCTCAGAAAAAAAAAAAAAAGAACGTTCTTTTCTCCTTCTTGCCAGTCCTGCTGCGGCTGAGGCCTTGGCCCAGGCTTGGAAGGGGCCTGTGCAGTGGCCAAGTGGGGGCCGAGGTGTCAGTCTCCTTGGTGGGGAGGCTTAGGCTCCCTTGGGGTCTGCCCCCGGGGGCCAGCACAGCCTCTGGATGCTGGGTTTCTTCCTGGGCGGCCAAGACCCTCCTTCCCTGTTTGCTCTTGGGGGTGCCTGTGCCCTCAACTTGATATCATCCTCCCTCTGGGGACCTGACCTCCTGCCTTGTTGCTGTGACCCTAATGGACTTTGCACTGTCTCACTTACCTGTGGCCATCCCGGGCAGCCCCGAGCCTCTGTGAGGGGGTGGGGTCTCTGGAAGGGACTGTGTCTGCTGTGGGTGCCCCTGCAAGGCTGGAGCTGAGTCAGGGTCTGCCAGGCCTCAGCGTGTCCACGTGTTTGGGGCTGAGGGCACTGGTGGGTCCCGTGGCCCAGGTAGTGAGAGGGGAGGAAGATGGTGGAGGTGGGTGCAGGCAGGGGGCCACGTGCCCGGCCATGTCACCCAGGCCGGCGGAGAGCGCCTCCAGACCAGCCTCCTCAGACCCCAGTCCCGGAGCCGTCTGTGAAGGGGAGCCCGTGTGCTGTCCACGCTAGGATGCAGCGGCCCCTGGCGGAGGGAAGGCTGACCAGGGTGGGGGCCCGTCACGAAAGAGCCTGGGGAGATGCAGGTGCTGAGCCAGGCAGCCCCCGCCCCAGCGTGGCCCGTGTCCCTGCAGCACGTGGCTGAGGAGCTCCAGCACCTGCTGCAGTGGCTGATGGGCGCTCCCGCCGGGCTCAAGATGAACCGTGCACTGGACCAGGTGCTGGGCCGCTTCTTCCTCTACCACATCCACCTGTGGATCAGTGAGTGCAGGGACCCGGGGAAGGGAAGGCGGGGGCTCCAGGGACCCCGGAGCTTGCTGAAGAGGGTAGGGACCCAGCCACACCCTGCCCCCTGCGCCCCCAACTCTGCTTCCTGGCGTCCTGTGTGTGTGAGGCTTGTGCTGGGCCGAGGGCTGGGGTCTGAGCGCCTCCTGAGGGCCAACCCCACCCTGCCAGGCTACATCCACCTCATGTCCCCCTTCGTCGAGCACATCCTGTGGCACGTGGGCCTCTCGGCCTGCCTGGGCCTCACGGTGGCCCTGTCCCTGCTCTCGGATATCATCGCCCTCCTCACCTTCCACATCTACTGCTTCTACGTCTATGGCGCCAGGTGGGCGAGGGCTTCCCTTCCCCACCGGACCCGGAGGGGCAGAGGCTCCGGCTGGGCGCATGGAGAGGGGCGGGCGGGTTTTCGGGTAATATGAACATGGCTCCCCCTGACGTGTTTCGTTTTGCTTAGGATTGCTCATATGGTTTGGGATGTTTGTCTGCTGCCAAATCTTGTTGAAATGTGATTCCCAATGGTGGAAGGTGGGGCCCTGGTGGGCGGTAATTGATCATGGAAGTGGATCCTTCATGAATGGGTTATCAGCAATCCCCTTGCGCTAAGTGAATCCATTGTCAAGTTAGCGTCAACAGGAGATCTGGTTGTTGAAATAGTCTGGGCCCTCCCTCCCTAGCTCTTGTTCCAGCTTTGTATGTGATATACCTTGCTCTCTGCTTTGCCTTCTGCCATGACTGTAATCTTCCTCCAGGAAGCTCTCCACAATGAAGCTTGAGGCAGAATGTTGTTGCCATGACGAGTACAGCCTGCCGAACCATGGAGCCAAGGTTAAACTCTTCTTTTATGGATTACCCAGCCCCAGGTTATTTCTTTTAAGCAAGTGTGAGGACATGCCTATTTCAATCACTCTTGGTTATTCAAGGTTCTTTTTTTGGTCTCCATAAAAACCTTTAGAAAAGTTTTTTTCTAGACCTCTCCTGGGAAAATGACGTGGTAGTTTTGGATAGGAATAGCATTGAATCCTGCAAATTGCTTTGGGCAGTATGGCCATTTAATGATGATTCGTCCACTCCTAATGAGCATGGAAAGTTTGTTCCATTTGTTTATGTCATCTCGTATTTCGTTGAGCCAGTGTTTTGCGTTCTTCCGTCCATTAGAGATCTTTCACCCTCCTTGGTTAGTGTATGTCCTAGGTATTGTGGTGTGTGTGGTGTGTGTCTATTATAAATGAAGAATTGCAATTCTTGATTTTGCTTTCTCAGCTTGACAGTATTGGGTGTATAGAAATGTTACTGATTTTGTACATGATTTTGCCCTATCCTGAAACTTGACTGAAATTGTTTATCATGTTCCGAAGCCCTTTTGGCAGTCTTTAGGGTTTTCTAGTATAGAACACATCGTCAGTGAAGAGAGTATAGCTGACTTCTCTTCCTGTTTAGTTGCCTTTTATTTCTTTCTCTGCCTGATTGCTCTGGCTAGCACTTCAGTAACCTATGTTTGATTAGGAGTAATGAGCAGTGGAGCATCCTTTCTTGTTCCAGTTCTCAAGGAGAATGCGTCCAGTTTTGTGTCCCTTCCATATGATGTTGTGCCACGGGTGTTGGTCATAGGTTGATCTTATTATTTTGAGTAATTGTTGTTTCAATGCCTAGTTTCTTGAGGGTTTTAATCAATAGAGGATGTTGGATTTATTGAAAGCTTTTCCACATCTATTGAGATTATCATATGTTTTTGTTTGTTAATCCCTGGTTATAGTGGTGAATCACACTTATTGATTTGTACATGCTGACCAACTTTGCATTCCAAATATGAAGCCTACTTGATTGTGGTGACTTAATTTGTTTGATGTTTGTTTGATTTGGCTGATAGGTATTTTGTTGAGGATTTTGCATCTACATCATCAGGATATTGGCCCTGTAGCTTTTCTTTTGTGTGTATCTTTTGCCCAGGTTTTGGTATCAGGATGAAGATACTGACTTTTGTAGAATGAGTTAGGGAGGAGTCTATGCTCCTTCATTTTTGTTACACTTCCAGTAGAACTAGCACAGCTCTTTTTGTATGTCTGAACAGAATTCAACCTGTGAATCCGTCCAGTTCAAGGCTTTTTTGGTTAGGTAGGTTTTTTTGTTACTTTAGTCAATTTCAGAACTGCAATATTGGTCCATTCAAGTGTTCCCATTTCTTCCTCCTGTCAATCTTGGAGAGTGTAGTGTTTCCAGGAAATTTTACCCATTTCCTCTAGAATTTCTAAGTTGTGTGCATATAGGTGTATCATAACGGTCTCTGACGATCTTTCTGTATTTCTGCTGGATAAGTGGTAATGTCACCTTGTCATTTCTGAGTGTACTTATTGGGATCTTCTTTTTTTCTTTGTTAATCTAGCTAATGATCTAACAATCTATCTGCTCAAATCCAATTTTTAGTTCATTGGAATTCTTTGTATGCATTTTTGGTCTTCAATTTTGGTTCAGTTCTGCTTTGATTTGTTGTTAATTCTTTTCTCGCCAGCTTTGGGGTAAGTTTGGCTTGTTTTTTCTAGTTTTTCTAGGAAT